AGGATGTCGTGGGAGACAGTGTCAAATGCCTTGCTGAAATCAAGGTAGACTACATCCACTGCTCTCCCCCGACACCTTGTACTTGGTCTGGTTGAACCTCATTAGACTCTTGTGGGCTCACTTTTCAAGCACATCCAGGCATTCCTTCCTTCCACTTTATCAATTGCACCATGCACCACTCAGCTTGGTGTGTGTCATCAGGAAACTTGCTGAGAGTACACTTAAACCCCCTACCCACCTCATTGGATAAATATGATGAAGAGCACTGACTGCAAGAAAGACCTCTGGGAGACACCATTCAACACTGGCCTCTACTGGACATAAAGCTATTGACTGCAATCCTCTGGCTGTGACTATTTACCCAATTTTCTACTCTCTTCTACCATTTCCCCTTCCCTAGACAAGGTCTGTCCATAGGACATAGTATCAAGTAAGAATTAAAACCAGACACACCTCTGAAAGGAAGAAGGAGAGCACAGATGGCTCATGAAAATATGCAGTACAGTAATATCTTACTTAAGCTAGGATAAAGAAGACATCTTTGCCCTACACAGATACACTCCTGCCAATCCTGGGACCTTCTCCAGCCTCCATTCAGAGATGACTGATAGCCCAGGGTGGGGTGTGATAAAGAACGATTGCTGCCCTGGACAGAGGCTGTGTTGAGGTCCACAGCAGGGACAGAGTAAGCTTATGATACAATTTACAAAGGTCAGTTGTATGTTGGCTCTGTAACTTGAGAACTTAACCTCACCAAAATTTAAATGTGCAAATTCTACTAGCAGACCTAGCTTTGGACATACAACACGAACGCTACCTTATTCTTGCTAAATGTGTAGATGAACAGGCCTCTGGATATAAAACATATAACAATAACATTTCACATACTTGAAATGAAAATAGTTCATGTTACCAGAGTATAAAATAACTGAGAAACAGCAACACTTAATTGTGAAATGCAGAAACATTAGCATTTTACTTGAGAGATGGCATATATGCAAGTATCAATGAGTTGCATACAATAAAACTTCCAGTGCTGTTACCAAAATCATAGAATCATAGAATCATAGAATCACTAAGGTTGGAAAAGACCCACAAGATCATCCAGTCCAACCATTCACCCATCACCAATGGTTCTCGCTAAACCATGTCCCTCAACACAACATCCAGACGTTCCTTGAAATCTTCAAAAGAGATTTGACATGGAAAAGTGACCAGCGCTGAGCTCCTTGCAGAGTGGGATGGAGAAGCTGAAACTAGGAACACGTTTGTTCAGTAGTGTGTAGATAAAAAAGGTGTCATGCCTTGAAATGTTGCATGTATGAGCTGAAGCTGCTAGAATTGCAGTTTTTCTGAATGTTTGCATTTTTCTAATAACTTGTGAACATAACTTGGCATTACTAGAGTTCACTGCATCTATTACTGTTGGATTTTTAAAGCAAGTGAAAGGAATATAATAAGATTAAATATGATGCAACCATTCATAGCACCCCTTAGCCTTGCTAATCAGATACTGAGCCTTTTCAAACTGAGCAGTTCCCCAGTTCTGCTCAATACATGCATCCTATTGATTATTAAGGTTACATAGGGTGTGCACTAAAAGTTTACATCCAACTATTCCAAGTGTATCCTGCAAACAATAAAGAAATGCTCTTTTAAACCAGTTTATTACATCATGCCACCATACTACTACACATAAGGGTCCCAATGCACAGGTTCTTTGTATTACTTATGTTATATATACTACGTTTAGCAAAACCAAGCAAATACGTTAAGAGTAGCTTTGAAAATATACAGTTATGGATGAATTTACATTATGCATACTATGAGTGATGACTGGGCTATGGGAGTTTGTGTTTGTGTTCTTTTTTCCCCTAAAGCACAGTCAAAAACTATGAGAACAAATAACCTTGACACAGTGCCAAAGAGTAAAGAGAAAACTGCAACTACAACTGTGCCCAAGCATACAGATATGCACACAGAACAATTATCTCCTTCTCTCCACTTGAGGAAAACAAACTCCTTTTCCCAGTTCAGTGTGCCAACTTTGCTGTGATGAGCCCCGAATATGGGTTAGCTTAAAGTAAAATTATTTTTGACCTAGCCAGTCTTGGATTAGGGAGGAACCCACCAAAGTCTGCTTCATCACCAAACATCTGAAAGTTAGGGGTTGCAGAAATCCAAATTAATTGGTGAGAGGTCTCTGAGACAGATACACTCTAGCTCAATATAACCATGTTAAGTCTTTGGACAAGACTTCATAGGTGTGCCTGCTACTTCTCTCTCTAAATGTGGCTGTGGTGGGCCACATGTTCTCCACTTTCAAACAGAGCAAGGGCTCTTGTAGGTGCCAATGCACTTCCTGCTTAAGAGTGGGTAGAACGTGTCAGTTACATTAAGACAAGCCACCAGTCTTTCACCTCAAACTTATTTGAACTTTAAGAAATCTGAAAAAAAAAAAATCTTTACAAAGGAAGCCTTCGTACCCACAATTCATCTTCTGCATTTATTTACTTCATTGGAGAGCAGAGCAAAAAATGTCAAAATGGCAAAACTGACAGAAACAGTTAATAAGGAAAGCTCAGTGATTCTTCTCCCTGCCATTCATTTGTTAATAGAGCTTTGTCACTGAACTTGCAAAGGATGTGAATCAATCTTTATGACACCTTTGAAGAACTGGAAAAGTTTTTATCCAGCACTTTTATTGTTAGGTTTTTTGGTGGTTGTTTTATTTTCCTGGTTTGTAGAAATGAGAAAAATAAGAACACAATTCAGAAAAATAATATTAAAAAAAAAAAATTCTGTGTTTTGTTACTTTTAAAAAATAGTTAAAACTATTTTAAAAAATCATAAATTCTTTAAAACAAAATATCCCTGCATTAAGAAAGTATTAGAGTAGAATGTCCTGATTTTTCCTGACATGAGCCATTACAATTGAAAAGTTTCCAAAAGAGTTCTGCTTCAGTATATTTTCCAGCTGCTTCAAAGGGAGGACTGATTACTTGCTCAAGGCTGTGGATGCCATAATGATGCCAAAAATTAGGATTCCCAGGCTATTTGCTCAAACCACTGGAATTCTTCTCCTAATTTGATCACTAGCAATATTTCTGAATGAAAACAGAAACAATGAAAGTGTAGAGGCAAAGATTATTCTCAGACAAATGGAACTCTAGTAGAAATACTTTGGTCAGGCAATTTGGGAATATTTTATACAGTTAAGTGAACACTGAGAAAAAAAAAGCATGAACATAAATAATCCTTGAAGTGCAAGTTTTTTTTTGAAGTGTCCAAGATTTTTAAATGATGGTCAGTCTCTATTATAATGTAATTTCTTTATCAGTGCTAATGATGAAGGGCCTTAAATTGGGCTGGCCTCTTTGACCAGTGTTCTTTCTTCCACAGAAGATGGGAGGTGGTAAGTAGCATATCAGTGTGATAAGGGATGTCCATTATCCGTGTTTTTCAACACACAATTATGAAGCAGTGCACGTTTTTAGGCATAAATATATTTTACATACACTACATAAGGAAGAAGTGGTCTTCATAAATCAAACATTAGGTCATTACAGTATGCAAATCTAAGCATTATTGTTTCCCAAATTTCATCAATGTTACCTCCTTTTTTTATTAGTGAATAATTTTATCAATTAAATACACATACTCTTCTCATTTTCTGTAAAGTGCATCCTTTCACTAACTAGAGTGCCATCATAATTTATGTTTTTCATGTAACAGAGAATATAAAGAACTTTAGGCTTTATTCTTCTATAAATATCATCAGTTCCACTTACCCTACTGTATCCTGAGACCGGTTTTCCACTGACCTTATCAAGAACAGCAATTTTCCTGCCTACTCTAACAGCACCTGGAATCTTACCAAAAGAAATCAGAACCCAGTGTAAAGCTTCAGGAGCAATGGCTAAGTGTGAAATCAGGAGCGTGTCCTTCAGCCTTCAGAGGACTTGTGTGGGGAGGGAGCTGGTCCTCTTGGGGCTGTTACAGCTCAGCTGAAGGCATGCAAAGGGCACACGGCAATTGAAAGGCTCTCTTGTGTGAATGCATTGGTTTAGCTTAATAAAGGCTAAGCAAAGGGCAAACAAGACTTCCCTGTATTGACTCTCTAGGATAGAAAATCTTGGTGCTCAGTGGAACTTCAATAAACCAAGCTGGCTTCAAAAATCCTGTCCTCTGCTTAATGCGCTCTGTAACGCAGCACCTCGATCTGACCCCACTTGTGGTAGCAGTGCTTGCCAGCAAT